CTGGATTAAAGTATGGCGGACGAAGGGTACGAGTTATTGAGATAAAGTTACTGTCAAGGAGACGATTACGTTGGTGATCAGAAGCAATCGCGATCAGAGAGGTGTGCACCACACCAGGCGATCCACTATCATCAAGGCGATCGCGATCAAGGAGACGATCGAGATCGTAACCGGCGATCAGATATGTGATCGCGATCAGGTTGGTGTGTACCACACCAGGTGATCCGCGATCATCAAGGATGCGATCAGCAAGGCGATCGCGGTGAGGATAAATGATCAGGTACATGGTCACGATTAAGCTAGTTTGGACGACACGACTGATATGCAACTGGAAAGGTGAATGCAATCGGACACGTATATCAAGTGTGTGCCACGCAAGTACAAGAGTGATACCTTTGGACACGTGGCTTGAGATGCCTGCGGTATTATGATAGAATTGTTGGGTTCGATTGGTTAACATTAAACAGAGTTGAAATTGCTTTAAAGTACACGTGTCGCTTTCTATTCCGGGTTGGATCATTGACCACCCGACTTCAAAAACGCTGCATACTATGCTTAAGTGATATCCCTGGATTGTTTGGCCAGGGATCAAGAACTCGTAAACAACACCCCAAATGCGACTGGACGCAGGAAATCATTTGTGGTTAAGGATCCAAGATCGCGAGACGGCTCTAGTGGTCAGATGGCTCGCAAATCAAGGTCTACATTTGGACTAGGTGATCTGTTACAGACCAAGGTGGCTCATATCGAGCACCCCACAAGTATACAAGTGATCCCATGAAGAATTTCACGAGATCAAGCCAACTCCGATCGCGGTGTGGAGATTTCCACACCGAGATCGAACCTCGACCCCATCTCAAACACGGTCAAGTTTTCCATTGAGACGAGTCAACCTGGAAGAGTGCAACCATCCCCACCGACGGATGCACAAGGTGAGGAAGGATATCAAGAACACGGAATCGGAGTACTCCGTCCGTTAGTCGGTCGTCCGGGAACCAGTGGAGAGTTGATATCGACTCCTCAAAAGAGCGACCACCACTCCATCATATAATTGTAGAGATCGGTCTATGATAATAAACATATAAAGACCGTCAAACTTCCGGCGGGAGTACATTTGCGTATGAATGCCATCTGAATTCCTAGTAAGAGTGATGGATGCGCAAAATTGTGCCGGAATAACGGAGTTCAATCGTCATATGATCGACCGATACCCAACATAATGTTATCTGAGTATAATGTCGGCCTTGTTTTCTACAAAAGATGGTTGCGTGTGTGATGGAACGACCTAGTGGAGGCACATGTATTTATGGTGATTTGGCAAGGCACGTCGAAAATATCAGATCCGAAGAGCCAGTTGAAGTCGTCTATACTGACGCCGTTAAGGATTTTAGTATATCAGTATTAAAATGCGTGGATACGCATCCACATACGTATCTACACATCTGGATACTATTCAGATACTGACTTCAATACTGTAGTGCGAAGACACGAGCATCGACACGTGGTACGAAGACGCGGTCATAGGCAGACGAGCTTATAGAGATAACATTATTGGATCCAACGTTAGCATGACGACTATCCCGCAGGATAGAATCGGTATATGTACAGGTCCGAATTTGATTAGAGTTGTCAATCCACCGAACTTGTCTTTCTATCTTCTACCAAAAACATGCTTCATCCCTATCTGAGCAAGATTTCTTTGGTCCTTCCTGTGGATAAGGATACACTAGCCAAGCGAAAGAAGAGTCCAAACTCTGAAGGGATTCATGAGGGTATTCAAGAGCTCTCTTATACAAACGCTGAGTTGCAATCTGACGCAGATACAATTTTGGGGAAATTAAGATCGATAAGGCCGATCTCGCTGCCACGTGAGACCGCAAGATTGATCTGAAGCTGTAGCACAAGCATGAGAAAAAAAGAAGAAGTGAGTGCGGTCAATCGAGAACAGGCGCACACAAGTCGATCGATCCATATTAAAACCGAAGCCAATCGAAAACAAGACCGCAGACCTATTTCGAAGATTCGAGGTTGCTAGACATCCCAACGTGTCAGACGATCGTTGCAAGTTAATTACAAGATACGATAAAGTGGTTTGAAGTATTGACAGAAGCAAATTGAGCCGTCTCAAATCGAGACCGCTCATACTAGATCGCCATGCGGAGACGCCCGTGCAGCGATCGACATAGCCAATCCCTAACCCCAAACGAGGTCGGCATCTTCTAAGGCCGCCACGAAGAGCTCAAGCCAGCATAAAGGGTTCGTACACATCGTGAGCACAAGGACACAAAGCAGCACAAGGATCGGAGTGTTCCTCAGTGAGTAATTAAGTCTGGGCATCACGGAAGGTTGTTACTCGCATCAGCAATTTCGCGATGGCGACTCTTTACAACTACAAGGTTGACCATCCTATAGCGATGAGGTGGATCAAAGGTTGCACTGGCAATCGGTTCTGATCGAGGCCGTTCGAAGTGCTTCCAGAACATAGGGCGATTACATGGTTGTGAAAGCATTTTAATAATTCACATCGATGCCGACGAAGATCTGAGTATCAGGCTATGGTCATCGATGAACCACCTGCGCATTCGCGACCTAATGGACTATGACGGCCTACTTTGGTATATGGAAGAGGAGAATGAAGAGAATAAGGGATGATTCACTGCATACCTCCTGAGTGTAGATGAGGGTGTTTTATGAATAAGCACATCCCAAAAAACCAGCAGTGAAAAAAACTGGTAGACTTGGCGCCACGTGTAAACATGTACCAGTACGCATCTATTGATCTGCAAGGAGGTTAAGTTGGCCGCTATGTGAGGTTTAATCTCTATGCCGAACGATCATCAATATGTAAAAAGACTCTGGATGGGAGACATGCGTACGCTACATCAGCGCCTGCGTGATACCCAACGAGAAGATAAGAAAACTCTCCAATGTCGATCCTCACTTCCTCTTCTGTTAAATAATGATGCAATAGCAATATAAACATTTTTGGCTTCACTATGAAACAATGACACCTTGTGCCTGCACGCAGATGGTAATGGTCTAGCTCAGTAGCGGGGGAGTTGGTCTCCCACCTCTTTTAACAGCACATTTCGGTTCACGTCAATTTGATTAGTATTGTCCAAAGTACAATGCTTGTAAAGAATTTGGTGCACACACATGATTCTCTGTAGCTCATACTTCAGCTTTTGCACAGTATTTGGCATTTTCACTTCAGTTACCTTCAGCCAGCTATTTATACAGTTGTTGTTTGTGATTGCACTTGACCCGTTGTTATACGTTATGGGCCTACATGCTTTGACCACTTATCCTTATTGCTTTTGTTTTGAAATGTATGACTACTAGACACCACAAATGGCATGAAGCCCAGTGTACAAATCGATACTTTTCTTATAGTAGCTAAGTCGAGTAATAGAACGGATAAAACCCCAACACTCTACATTGCACAGTCAGTGGGACTAACAAGTATCTTACAAAAAGCTGCTGACTCCTTTCTTTTGTTTTTTTTACATACCATTCTTTCAGAGCAGCCGACGAAGAGGCTACTTTTTGAAAACGTATTGACAGAATGCGGCTCAATAGAGCAACTTGAACAGCTGCTTGTTGTTGTCAAAGGACAGAAAACAGCAAACCAACGCCATTATTTTCGACCGTGTATGAGGAAGAACATTATTGATCGACGAAGTAAGGGTCTGCGTCATTGTGAGACTCAAAAGAAGCTCTTGCGGTACATGCATGTATTATCTGTTTTTACGATGTCGTCTGTAAACGTGAGCGCAATCATCTTTCGAGATTTATGTCGACTTACGGCAGTCCAAAAGATACAAGAGCAACAGGCGTAATGGAAATTATCATAGACTTCATTACGATTAAATGTTTGTACTAATTTGTACAAGCTATTGCATCACTCGGTCCTTTTCATCCTTTTCATAATTGTCGGAATTTAACACACCAAATACCGTGTCGCTAGCAAAGATTTTGAAGAACCCACTTAATGACTTGAAATCGGAGCGATAGGTGCTCGAGCATGTCCCACTTGCTCAGCATCAAAGACCGAAGCGTATCTACATTTTCCGTACAGTCATGTCCGTGATTCGTAGTTCACATGTTGATACTGTCCAAGGGTCAGCATTTGAAAGACCGCTGCGTCATCTGCGCTTTTTCGATCCACTCGAACACTGTATACTATTTTGCTGTGGCAGGAAGTTGCAAGCAAACATAGATGGACCAGAATATACTTGACTGCTTTCTGTCGCTCTTTATCCAACTTGGATGCGTACATGCGCGCGCTCTTCAGCAAATTGAAGACGTGTCAGCAGTGATGACATTTCTGCTATCGATCCGTCCCTCGCTTTTACGAACAAGATTCCAGTAGCATAATCTCGCAGTGCTGGATAAGTACCTGGAGCGAGCTCACCGTTGCGGTCCAACATCTTGTCGTCATCATTCAGCATACGCACAAGATCTCGGCCATTCATTGGCACCATAGCCAACAACAATCGACGCGTCTTTCTTAACACGCCTTCCACTTCAATCCGGTAGTGTTACCCGAGCTGCCGACGAAATGAGCAACCGCGTCCATCATCTCCGATGAGATTGAGACAAATCACGGACTCAACGATGTCAAATATCAAGGAAGCTTTTACTAAGTACCATTTACTGACCATCAAGTTTGCTACACGCGCTCGTACGGAAAAGGGAGTCGAGGGGTCAGCTTTCAATCATAAATGAAAGTACATCATTGTTATAGGGATCAAAGTCGCTAAAAAATTCTGCTGCAGTAAAAGCAGTGGTAGTAGTAGTAGTAGCATTAGTAGTAGTAGTAGTAGTAGCATTAGTAGTAGTAGTAGTGGTAGTAGTTGTTGTAGTAGTAGTAGTAGGACCAAAGCAGTACTAGCGGTCGCTGTCGTTGTCGCGGACGGTTTGTCAGATACTGATACCCTCCTCCTAGTCATAATCCCTCTTTCGGCAAATAAATAGCACCCCGCGACCCACACCCCACAATGAACACGAGCGAGTTGAACGCCTCGCAGCCCGACACGACCGCCGCGTCCACGTCGTCCGCGAACGAACAATGGCGCGTCGTCCTCGGCGTTGCTATCCTCATTGCGTCCTACATCCTCCGCGTCGAAGTCGTGCGCTTCTCGCTGCGCATCGCTCGCCGCGTGTTTCCGGTTTTATTCGCGTGGCTTCGCGAGTTTGAAACAATGCTATTGCGGCCGCTGTCGTGGGTCGTGTTCGTTCTACTCGGCTGGTTCGCGACGTACGTCATGGACTTGGACTCGCTGCTGGACATGGAGGACGGCACGCTGCAGGGCATTGTGACGCTTTTGCTCGGTCCGCCGCTCGTGTGGACCGTCATTTGCCTGTGCAATTACGTGGCGTGGGGCATTATTCGCGTGCAGGGGTGGAGCCGCGCCGTGTCCAAAGATGACGACGACTACAGTCGTGTCATGATTATTACCGAGGGGATTGGGGTGCGTTGGTCGGATGTGATGACGATGACGACTGTATTTTGTTTGTTTGATTGTTGTGCTTTTTCGTGGTCGATGGCTGCTTGGGATTCATCTTTCATGCTACTCTGCTACAATCCGATTGTTGGCTTTGTACTATATTTGTATCGCCATTGCTATCCTTGGTGCTGATGCTACTGTTTTGTCCATGTGGTCGTTGTGGGTGCTGTTTGGCTTGGTAGGTGATCAAAGTACTGCTGGTCGCAGCAGTCGTGTCGACGTGCATTGTTGATGAGATTGGTCGGTTCACTGAATTTGAGTCGGGACAAGTGTCGATGGTGGCAGTCGCTATGGTGGAGTTTGTGCTTGTGCTTGGTGCACATTCGTGGGTGCGTGCGCGCGCGTCAACACAAAGTGGAAACGACTCCATGCTTGCTTGTCGATTGCTCTTGTATCGAACTGATGGTCTCTTTGCTACCGACGTGGAAAATGGTTTGTAGCTGAAAAACATCATGGGTGGACTGATGACGCTGCAAGACGAGCAGATCAAGAGCGGACTGCATGTATCGTTTCAAGGTCACGAAGGTGTGGTCGAGCGACTGTTTCTGCAGGGATTTTCGCTGCGCCAGTACGACAAGAGCGTGGCGTACATTCCGAACAGTATCATGCTGGAGAACTCAGTCACAGTACAGACGAAGAGTCTAGACCGGCGCTGTGTCATTCCCGTGCACTTGAGTCACGCAACTCGCACGACAGCGCTTCGCATATTCATCCAAGAGCTCGATAGTTTCCTGACGCAGCACATGAAGGATTGCCACATGAATGCGAAAGGGGGCATTCTTGGACTAGAGAAGCCGCAAGAGGGGTGGAACATGATGAACTTGTACGAGCACAACAAACAGCTCGCAATGAAAGAAGCATCTCAACCGCGAGGTCGCTTCTGGATCAGCGTTGAGGCACCATACCTGGTGCACGTTGTCTATTATTCGCAGGAGCGGCACATCAAGAAGTTGCTGGCCGAAAAGACGGAGGTTTGTAGCTGTGTACGCGACTGCTTTGGCTGTTGCACAATGTTGGTTGAGATCGCTGTTGCTCTCTACTGTCACAGATCGTTCTGCGCATCACGGAGCTGGTGAACAAACTCGGGCTTAGTCTGCACGGAAAGGAAGACAAACACACAAAACCAAGTTCACCGGCCGTTCCATTGCCGACTGAGATGGAAGGACCAAACATAAACGACCGACACTCGAGCTTTGTTCCAGAGCCGATTTCGGAGATAGCGAGCCGTCGCCGAAGGAGGCGAGTACCACCGGCGAGCGAGCCATTGGGCCGGCGTATTGCCAGCACCAACAATATGGTGCATCAACGTCGGCCTTTTGAGGATCGTGTCAACGAAGGATAAATGGGTACGGTCGGTCGTGTGAGTTTGATTGACGTTTATTTCTACGTCCCCATCAATGTTAATAATTAGCCGACTCACCCACGTCCAGTTGCGATTATGCGTCACTGCCGTGCTGCAAAAGCTGCAGGCTCACAAAGCCTGACATTATCCCTGTATGTTTCCCACCGTGGGCGAGTTCTACGACGAAATTGTTCAGCTTCTGGACTCCGTCTGGTGGATCTCCGCTGTCGTCAGCTGTTGTCTGCGGAATGCAAATCACGCCCTGACCGAAGCACGGACCCTGACTGCCGGCGTGGACTTTGATTGCCACGTGCATATTACCAGTTGGTCGGGCACAGGTGGCGTGGGTGATACCGTCACGCACAAAGTCGGCCCACTTGACGTGAGCTACGTTTGTCTTACATAGCAATCGATCAGTGCTCTGCAAGTACACACCACCACTCATCGAGTCCGCTAGCTCAAGCAGCTTGCGCTGTGCTGAAAAGATGTCTTCCGATGGTAATGGGAAAACGGTCGTCACCATCACTTGATGTCCGTGACGGTCGAAGCTCGAGAAACGCTGATCGACATCAGTCGAGGTGCCGGACGACATACGTGAAAGGTCGGGCGCTGCATCAGGCTGCCACGACATACTGCTGAAGTCCAGACGTAGCTGACACTCCAAGACGCCATGCACATCCTGCATTCGCTGGAGCTTCTTGGTGGAAAGCTCCGTCTCAATCGGAAGGAAGTCGCGATTCACGAGAGCTTGGAACACTGCCAGCACAGGCTTGTGGTCGGAGCAGCTAACTTCTTCGCATGAGGCGTAGACAGCACATCGCAAGCGATGACGCATATCCGGCTGAGAGAAAAACAGGATTCGGTCCGTGTATGACGGTACCCGCATGCCATGGCCCTCGACAGCTGTGGTGTAGCACTTTGTTAGCTCGTGCATCGGCCAATTTGCCCCGTCGAGTTTCAGGGCTGCTCCACGCACACGGCGAAAAGTAGGCGGGAATGCAATTTTCGCCTCGCGGAAGCCGTAGAAAATCTGACCGCTTCGCATACCGGCCCGCAGCTCGTCATGCGCAAGCACATCGTCCCAGACAAAATGATCGTCGTCCACGTGCTCACTATCCGCTGAGTATTGAAAGCTGTTGATGCTGCCGTTCGAAGAAGCAAACGCGGACGAGGTGTTCTTAGCGCTCCGCTCCAGCATGCTGACACCAAGCTCGCTGTTATCTCGGTCACTGCTCGCGCCTTGGGACCTACCGAGTCCGAAAGAACTGCCGAGTCCGAAAGAACTACCGAGACGGCGACGTCCCATCGGGCTCCACCGTTTACCCAGTAGCCCGCGGCGCAAGCTGCGATTCCTCTTGGTCGGCACAAGCTTCAGCGTTTCACACTGCCGTACCTTGGACACCAGCTCCAGGATGGTATTTGCGCTCGCATCGCGCTGTGTCAGCCGATAATTGAGGTCCCCGAGAACAAAGCTGTGGTGATGCACGTGTGGGAACTCAAAACCCACGTCCTCGAGATTCAAATGCAGCTCCTGCAGCATGTCTTGCGAGTCCCGGTTTCGTCGCCATACTTTCGACTTTCCCTGCGACACGCAACAACCGACGCGTTAGCAAATGCAGCACATCCACGTCGAAGCAGATGAAGGAGCTCCGAGCAAAAACTACCTTGGGGTCCGAGGACAAATGACATGCTACGAATGCGAACGAGGTGTCGTAGTACCGAAACGCAAACCCCACTGCCCCTTTGTTCGATGCCCGACCCAGCACCAGAGACTTGCCTACGTTAACTTCCTGCTGCACCACAGGCGGCATATAGAAGGCACCACTGTCCACGTCTGAAGACCTGATGAAGACCGTAATTGCAATGTGACCGTGGTAGCCCAATGACTTGTTCTTGCTACCGATCTCGCGATTGAACTGGTGGAACGTCGACTTTTTGCAGGCTGCTCGATTTGCTGCTGGTCGTGGACGTCCTCCTTCAAGATGCTGGCAAATTAAGCTGCGGGTGTCTGCGAGGTGCAGACACTCCTGAAGACCAATGACGTACACGTCGTGACCAAGCGGTATCCATTTGTCTAACTGGGCAGGCGTGAGTCTAGCCTCGCCCATGTTGAAAGTCGACACGAAGATGTTTGCCGGTTGGCGATAGTGCTTGACCAAACCAAGCATGGTGTTGGTCGTATCCATGGTAGGAAACGATGCTGCGGCGATAAGCTTGTGCGCTGGAACGGTCGATGGCTTGCACGAGGCTACTCGATACAGCTTCGTTAGCAGTCCTCCGTATATAATGGCCGTCGCGAGGCCCTGCATACACATGGTGACCTGCATCAACAACGCAATTGCAAACTTTGCCACGCCGAGCTCGTCGTCCAGTACTACAATCACAGCACACCCGTCGTTGCAGCAGCGTCAGCACACGGCACACCGTTACGTTACGACAACGACAAAGCAATAGCGTACGTACATCGAAAGACCGTGCTGGGCGTCCAGAGCACAATGAACGCTGCAATGTAGATCCTCAGCTTGGACGCGATCAGCGCCCACGACTCTTGGGCATCCAAGTGCGCGTTGCGAACGTCCCGCGAGATGCGGTTGTGCGTGACGCAGAGGATGATACTGACGTAGAGAATCGCGAGAATGACAAACAAGTAGAAGGTCCAGAACTGCTGCGCACGCGCCTCGATCCAGCAGTAGAACGTGGCATTGCCAAACACCTTGGCCGCGTAGAGCGCTACGCTGCAGCTGACGGCTGGCACCAGCGCGAGCAGCACGTAGAGCTTGAACCGGCTCTTGAGGCGCGCTTCGCTGTCGCGGTAGACAATCTTGCGGTAAAAGCAGTGAGCGATCGCCGCGTTCCAGAAGACGGACAAGAGTCCAAAGAGGTGCAGGGCGAACGCTTGGGCTTTGCACGACGCGGTGGCCACCACCTCGACGTTGTCCGAGGCCACGGACGGATTGCCAAAGAGCTTGGGGAACGACAGTCCCGCGTCCAGGACCGAGAGCACGAGCACCATCTTCTGCACCATCGAGACGCCACTGTGGAGTTGGGACGTGACGTAGTGGTGGCGCACAATGTACAGACAGCCGACGAGTGACAGCGCCGAGCAGCTCACGATCACAATATACAGAACGTCCAGTTGAAACGCCGAGAGCTCCGTGTCGTGAGGCCGCGGGGAGTCGCTCGGTGGCGCCCGCTGGACCGCCAGTGCTGCTGCTGCTGCTGCTACTGCTGCTACTGCTTCGCGCATGCTCACGTTCGGTACGTGGCGCGTGGGAGACAGAGCCTGGAGGCTCGCACGGCGCGCGCAATCGCTAGTGACACGTTTTGGCGCGTGGAGCTCTGCCGCCGTGGAGGACGAGGCGGATGATACGGGGGATAGACGAGACGGGCGGTGGTGGCAGGTTAGGCGCGGGCCGCTGCGCGTCTCTTGTGACGATAGCAGCAGCAAGAGACAGGCCATGTGTCGCAGCCGGTGCGGATCACGGGCCAGAGAAAGATCGACTTGACTGGCTGCATGGAGACCACGGGACGGTGGAGACGGGACAGCGCAGACGGTGCTGTTACGGTTGTTCTCTCGGCGGGTTCGTGTTGGCTGGCGGACAAAGGGTTCAGCGCACAGTGCAGACGAGGGGCCGAAAACAGTGTACAGAGCCGCGACGACGCTCGCGTCACGACAGGGAGTCGGACAGTGTACCCCGCTATGTCTGCCCACATGGGTCCGCTGGTACGTACATAAGCGTGTATACAGGTATACACGTGACGACGACGTTTGGATCCATCTGACGGTTACGCGGATGGTTACTATTCTATTGACGACGACGGCACAGACCTATTCGCTCACATCGACGTGGCGTCGCCGCCATGCAGTTCTCCTACTGGCGACTGGGCCTCGCGCTCCTCGCGACGATCGCTGCGTTTCTGCTGTCCAGACCGGTAGTCCAAGGGCTGCTTCACATCATCCACTCGCGTCTCGACAAGCGCGTGCGGTACGATTGATGCCCGTTGCGATATGATAAGTTTAAAGAATATGCCCACTCGACCAAGGGATATTGAACTCTCCAAATTTATATCTGCGTCTCCTGTTCTCAGATGGATTGCTGACGTGCAGCACTATATGGTCACGTACCTCTGGTGGTTCCTGTTCCTCGTCTTGGTCCGGAACGTCGTGGCGCAGTACATTTTGGGATTGGGCGACAAGAAGGACGAAGTGATGCAGTACTTGGGCTATTTGGTGGCCATTCCGTTGGTACTCGGAACCTTTTCGATGCGCAAAGTGGTCACAAATGTACGACACGGGACCAATGGACTATTTTTGCGTCATTGTTATCAATTACTGGAGGTGGCAGGAGGGGCGATCGTGTGGATGCGGTTCTTGGTTGACTGATTGTTGATTGTGTTTGCGTGCTGGTTGGTCGGTTGTTTGGCTGGTGCTCCTTCATTGTTGTCGCTTTTGGCTCTTGATGCACTCTACATAGGCCTTTGTTCGATACGTCAAGTGGGACCGCTACGCGTCCAACTACGACGCGCGTGTCTTTGTCATTACCGAGTTTATCAAGTTCGTGTGCATCGTGTTCATTCTCATTGAGATTTTCTACATTTTCTTCATCTCGAACCCGTTCATGCGGTTTGTCCTCGTTGTCGGGTTCTTGAGCGTCGAGCTGGTCGGTGTTCTTGCAGGTTTCACACTGGTAAGAAGCACCGTTGTCTGCGATCTTTTCGTGCTTGTTGTAAGGTAGCTGCAAACTCACTCTTTTGTTCTTGTGGTTGTTCTTCTTGACGTGTATTTCTCGCATACGATTCGGTAGCTGAAAAATGTAGCAATGGGACTCTTTCTTATCTTTGCCGAACCGTTTCGCACGGGCAGTGAAGTAAAAGTGCGGAACTTGTCGGGGTTCATCGACCGAGTGTCGCTTGCGAGAACGACCATACGACGAACGGACGGGTCGATGATATTTGTGCCGAACGGCATTTTTGCCGATAATTACCAGACGAGCGGTAACGCCATGGATGCCCACAGACATTCAGTTACGCTGGAACTACATCCTGCTACGCCCGTCCAAAAGATCAAAGAGCTTGTGTATGAGCTGCAAACGGTGTTGCTACAGTACGCTTTGACAATGCAAGCGCTCGCTGCACTGTGCCGAGATCGCCGCGAAGTCTATGCTGTCCGATCGAATAGCGTCACGAGTTACAGTGTGAGTGGGGGAAACAGTGACGGTGTACCGAGGGACCAGCAACAGTCTACTTCGAGCAGCGAAGCCAGCACTAGCACGCCTCTTACGCGAGGAAGAACCCGCACTACCTCAAGCGCGTTCGACGCGACCGGTCGGCCAATTTTGCCGCTTTCTTCGCCTGTCTGCGTCGAGCTGCACGCAATGTTCACGGTAAAAGTGACTATATTCGTTGATCGCGAACGTTTCGGCTCGCTCGAGAAGGCGAGAACAGAGGTGCGCATCGGTTGAGTGTGTGTGTGTCATCAGCCAAGCAAGTACTTACGGACCAGGACGTTTTGCTCTTTTCTTGCTGTCATGGTAGGTGAATCTCGCAATCATCGACGTGATCCAGCGGCTTGGCATTGTCGCGAAGCAAACAGCCCGCGACACGCCGAAAGTGTGAGAATTTGCGCTATAGTCATGACGTCTGCGGAAGCTTTGATTTGTCGCGAAAGCTTGGCTCGTCGTGAAACGCAAGTTGGACCGGACTTGTGCTACATGAGTTGTCGCAGCAGGTTGAAGACGCAGATGGGTGAGTGGTCATCGCCAGCAGTTGTTTTGCGACAGTCGCGCTGCAGTGTGATAACTTTCTTTGCCCAGCGTCGCATTGTGCCAGGTATCATTTGGACGGGGACCAAGAACATTATCGGGGCACGTGTCTGTCTCGTACATTTACTCTCACTCGAAGAACCGCGTTGCCCTTCCGCACGTGTAAGGGTATAGCAACACGCTGCGTGACTCATTCATCATTGTACGGCGCAACCGTCGTCACAGGTGATCGATACAGTCGATCGCGGCGCTTTTATTTTACGGCAAAAAAAGAGTGTAGGTGGAAGCGCTATCACTGTGCGAAGACTAACAGGCAGAGTGCGGAAGTAAGGCTACTGCGTCAACGCTATGTAAACGCATGAAAACAGCAAGGGAGGTATGTTGAAAGAAGAAGAGACAAAGATGGGTCGGGCGTCGACTAGATATCGGCGACCATTGTGACTGAACCTCCCGGGAATGTGATACGGATGCTATCGGAGGTGTCAGTGAAAGTCTGCATAGCTTCGTGGTTTTGCGGTAGAGGAGCGAACGTATCGACGACAGGAGGAGAAGAGTCACCGAGATCAACACCATCGACAGCGAACGACTTGACTTCGCTCTTGGACGCACTCACTGGAACAAACACAGGACAGACTGAACTGCGAAGACTGAAACAAGTGCTGTAGGGGTGCTCCGATGGACAAGACAATAACCAGAAGCGACGCGGATCAAACGATCGAGCGTCCGGGGTCCGTCAAGCTAGTCGAATCCAGTCGGTACTCAGGCACAGACATGAGCGGGTTTACCGAAAGAACACCGCAACGAACAACTCGGGGTCAAGTTTTGAGGAGCTGGTCTACACGACGATCTCACTGTCGCAGCTTTGCGAAAAACTCGACTTGAAGATCTAGAACTGTTCGAAGAAGGTCACTGCAGCGCATGCCAGCACCAGAATGCTCATACCAGGCAGTATAAACTAGGCCAAGCATCGCTGCTGAACCAGTGTGTTGAGATCATGAGGCATGCCCCTCAGAATACTCGACTCCACAAGCCAGCGAGTGCTCGTTCAAGGAGCCCCGACAATGCTTAATCGAGGGTATTTGCACTTGCAGGATGAACCGAATTTCTGCTGTTGCGACAATAACGGACGAGGCATCACATACGGTGTCCAACAAGCCAACCGGGCAAGACGCGCGCTTGCTCGACTGTACCACGTTTGAGCTTCTTCCACTAGATGTACAGACTCGAAGGAAGGCGTTGGAAAAGTAACACTGGGTCCCTTGATAAGAGATAGAAGGCCAAGCACATCAATTAAAGCATGTCGTCCAGCAAGCGAAAGAGCAGTCGGCGAGATGAATTCGTATTACGGCGTATCAGCGAAAAAAAGATCGACAGCACACAGACCCGTTGTGATTAAACGTCACCTTGTGACTCTTGCATAGCTGGAGTGGTACAACGTGAGTGGGCGACTACCTGACCAGCACTTGCCTGGAGCAAAGCATGCAACAGGCTTAAGGAATTCGGCATGCTAGGCTAAAGTGATTCTGGAAAAAGCCGAACGACAGATGAAAGATACACTCAGTGTGACTCGGCGCTGACACAGGAGCCTTTGATGTCGATGGAATGAGGGTGAACTCGCAGGAGAAGGCGATGGAGCAACAGTGTGACGAAGTGAGCCTGTCGCATGATACAAACACCTAATTGAGTCAATGCGAGTATGATCTTGTTGGTAATGTTATTCAATTGTTCCTTTTCGAAGTACATATTGTAGAAAAAATATGTTGAAGGCGTGTGTGCAGCATTTTTCCACTTGTTGGTTGCTATAGGTCATTGAAACAACAAAACACACCACCAATCGCTACTAGACGCGCGCAATTGGTGGTGAGCAAGTAGCTTGATAACGTGTATGTATGTATGTATGTATGTATGTATGTATGTATGTATGTATGTATGTATGTATGTATGTATGTATGTATGTATGTATGTATGTATGTATGTATGTATGTATGTATGTATGTATGTATGTATGTATGTATGTATGTATGTATGTATGTATGTATGTATGTATGTATGTATGTATGTATGTATGTATGTATGTATGTATGTATGTATGTATGTATGTATGTATGTATGTATGTATGTATGTATGTATGTATGTATGTATGTATGTATGTATGTATGTATGTATGTATGTATGTATGTATGTATGTATGTATGTATGTATGTATGTATGTAGTTTGCCACAGTCAGAGAATGGTAAATTAGATCATATTATCTAGAAGACATAGATGGTTCTAGCTCAAACGATTTATAATGTCTCTGTCTGGTCAATTAAGCTCCATCTACACGTTCGTGTAGGCGAACGATTGAGACAGACATAAACTGCGTATAAGGCTAGCAACTTGTGCGGTGTCAATACAAGCATATGGTTTCCCGTTACATATGGCGGATGCAGCTAACCCCATCGAAGAAGAGATTTATGCCGTGTGACCCCTCAGACCTCCCGGGGGTGATCTGCGAGTACCGCGGCTCGGTTTGAACTCGCCAGGGGCCCACACCCCTCATTACACTATGGGGCTTTTCGGCTAGTAGGGCCTCCAGCCCACCCAACTATCACACACCCTTCGGTGCGGGTTGGCAGGGCGGCCACCCATTGGGTGGTTGCTCGTCATACTTTATTAGCCTATCTCCGGCGCCCTGTAATCGAACCCCCCTCCAGGATTTCGATCCAAGTACCTCCCGGTCCCAGCTCCAGTGGTCTACCACTCGGCCACACCCCATCGAAGAAGAGCAAACGACCGTAAGTACCGACGCCTCATCGACTCGAGCATCTACCGAAACCGATACAGCAGCTGGCGGAGACGCCAAAACACCAAAGAATAACTCACTCGAGGTTAAGTGGCACCAGATATGTGTATAGAAGCCGTCCCTAGAAGAGGTGGAGAATTCGTCGATACAGACGCTGTGAGAGAGTGAAAAGATGGGCCATTATCCGTAAAAGACATCAAATTCGATCTTGCCAAAACCACTACGATTTTGGACTTTAGTGTGCTTCGACGAGGTTTGTTAAAAGGAAGTTGTCATAGAAAACACTCATTCACGGTCAACGATCTACCGGCCATGTAGGTAGATACGATGGGTGGGCTATGTGGTTCAACCACATTTCTATTAATCCTTATCAAGGTCCGGTTTTTCCTGTAAGTGCTGACACCTGCTTGAGCATTTTAGCGGCATTTAGATGAAATATCCATTGACTTGTGGAGTCGAGTATTTTGAAGGGCACGCGTCATCACCTTAGCGCACTAGTGTGGTAAAACGATAAAGCATTTCGTGACAGAGGGACAGATCGCGCTCAGACTAAGTCCGGGATGGCAAAGATAAGTTCAGACGTCTGTACAAGTTCCATCACGTCAGTTGAACTGGTGAGGATAGTCGATGGAATTGAACTTTCGTTTTCAAATTAAAGGATGATGGATATGGACAAAGAGTTATGTTCGCCGACCGAGATCGCGATCAGAGAAGCGATTGTGATCAAGAAGGAAATCGCGATCAGGGACGCGATCGATCACCCACTAATTGCGATCGGACGCAGCAACGCAGTATAGGACAAGTTGGAAGACCGCGAGACGGCTTGAGTATAAATAAGGTCAAGCAGATTAGGTATTTATATATTGGAAAAGGCTATGTCGTCGAGATCGAGGCTAATCATATCGAGCACTCTACAAGTGTACCCGTGGTTTTGTGAAGACTTCCACACGTGCATCCCCGACCCTAACACAAACACCGTCAATATTTATCATCGACACGAGACCTCATGGAAGTGTGCAGTCCGCTCTACCGATGGGTACACAAGGTGAGAACGGAAGCGTAACACCCGGACCGGAGTACCCCCCCCCCGATAGTCGGTCTTCTGAGTGCCAGTGGAGAGTCGGGATCACAAAAAAATTGATGTCACCGTTCCACCAAACAAGTATAGCAGCAAATCTTGGCCCAGTTTATACTGCCGGGTATGATCATTCTGGTGCTAGCATGCGCTGCAGTGAACTTCTTCGAACAGTTCTAGATCTTCAAGTCGAGTTTTTCGCAAAGCTGCGACAGTGAGATCGTCGTGTAGACCAGCTCCTCAAAACTTGACCCCGAGTTGTTCGTTGCGGTGTTCTTTCGGTAAACCCGCTCATGTCTGTGCCTGAGTACCGACTGGATTCGACTAGCTTGACGGACCCCGGACGCTCGATCGTTTGATCCGCGTCGCTTCTGGTTATTGTCTTGTCCATCGGAGCACCCCTACAGCACTTGTTTCAGTCTTCGCAGTTCAGTCTGTCCTGTGTTTGTTCCAGTGAGTGCGTCCAAGAGCGAAGTCAAGTCGTTCGCTGTCGATGGTGTTGATTGCAATGACTCTTCTCCTCCGGTCGTCGATACGTTCGCTCCTCTACCGCAAAACCACGAAGCTATGCAGACTTTCACTGACACCTCCGATAGCATCCGTATCACATTCCCGAGAGGTTCAGTCACAATGGTCGCCGACATCGAGTCGACGTCCGACCCATCTTTGTCTCTTCTTCTTTCAACATGCATTCCTCGCTGTTTTCATGCGTTTACATAGCGTTGACGCATTAGCCTTACTTCTCTACTCTACCTGATAGTATTTGAATGATATATCTGTGTTTGTTGCCAATATATTCTTATCTTTCGTTGGCAATCTGCATCATTATATGAAGATCCTAACTCTTATTGATGTTGGACATATTATAAGGAGTACTTTTTCTCGTTCAGGTTATGAAAAACACCTTCAGTCATTATGGAAGTAGCTGCATTGCAGCTTCATTTTTCTTTCATTTATTGCAGATCATTTGCGTACGAAATTTGGTAGACAAT